TGTCACCAAGGCTGGAGTGCAGTGGCGTGATCTTGGCTCACTGCAACCTCTGCCTCCCAGGTTCAGGTGATTCTCATGTCTCAGCCTCCTAAGTAGCTGGGACTACAGGTGTGCACACTACACCTGGCTAATTTTTATATTTTTAGTATAGATGGGGTTTCACTATGTTGGCCAGACTGGTCTCAAACTCTTGGCCTCTAGTGATCTGCTGCCTTGGTCTCCCAAAGGGCTGGAATTACAGGCATGAGCCACCGCACTCGGCCCTTTTTTTTATTATTATATTTGTTACAGTGTTCTGTGATCAGTGATCTTTGATGTTACTATTGTATTGTTTTGGGGCACCACGAACTACATCCATTTAAGATGGCAAACCTAATTGATAAATATGTGTCTTCTGACTTCTCCCAGCCCTCTCCCTCTCCTCAGGCCGCCCTATTCCCTGAGACACAACAATCATTAAATTAGGCCAATTAATAACTCTACAGAGGCTGGATGCGTTGGTTCATGCCTGTAATCCCAGCACTCTGGGAGGCTGAGGGAGGTGGATCACCTGAGGTCAGGAGTTCGAGACCAGCCTGGCCAACATGGTGAAACCCTGTCTCTACTAAAAATACAAAAATTAGCCAGGCATGGTGGCACATGCCTGTAATCCCAGCTACTCAGGAGGCTGAGGCAGAAGAATCACTTGAACACGGGAGGCGGAGGTTGCAGTGAGCTGAGATTGTGCCATTGCACTCCAGCCTGGGCAACAGAGTGAGACTCTGTCTCAAAAAAAATAAAAAATAAAATAACTCTACAGTAGACTCTAAGTGTTAGGTGAAAGGAAGAATCCCACGCCTCTCACTTTAAATCAAAAGCTAGAAATGACTAAGTTTAGTAAGGAAGGCATGTCAAAAGCTGAGATAGAGCCAGGCATGGTGGCTCATGCCTGTAATCCCAGCACTTTAGGAGGCTGAGACAGGAGTACTGTTTGAGTGCAGGAGTTCGAGACCAGCCTGGGCAACACAGCAAGACTCCATTTCTACCAAAAAAAAAAAAAAAAAAATTGCCAGGTATGGTGCACACACCTATTGTGTGTGCTGTTGCACTCCTCAAGAGGTTGAAGCAGGAGGATCGCTTGAGCCCAGGAGTTCGAGGTTACAGTGAGTTATGATCACGCCACTGCACTCCAGCCTGGGTGATGAAGCAAGACCCTATCTCTAAAACCAAAAATAAAAAAAAAATTGAGATAGGCTAAAAGATAGGCCTCTTATACCAAACAGCTAAGCTGTGAATACAAATAAAAGTCCTTGAAGGAAATTAAAAGTGCAACTCCAGTGAACATATAAATGATAAGAAAGTGAAACAGCCTTCTTGCTGATATGTAGAAAGTTTGAGTGGTCTAGATAGGAAATCAAACCAGCCACAACCTTCTCTTAAGCCAAAGCCTAATCCGGAGCAAGGCCCTAACTCTCTTCAATTCTATAAAGGTTGAGAGGTGAGGAAGCTACAGAAGAAATGTTGGAAGCTAACAAAGGTTAGTTCATTGACTGGGCATGGTTGCTCATGCCTGTAATCCTAGCACTTTGGGAGACTGAGGCAGGAGGATGGCTTGAGCCAAGGGGTTGGGGCCAGCCTGGGCAACATAGGAAGACCCTGTCTCTACAAGAAATAAGTCAG